CATTCAAAGAAAAAGTCAATGTTGGTGAGACAGACATTAAGAAAATTTATGAAGAACAAGAAAGTAGTGCAGTTGAGTTATTGAAAGACATCATGGATGTTTTAATGAATGAGAACATCAAGAAATATGTAAGCAATAAAGCAATTAAAAGAATTACACAAATGGCACAGAAGATTCGTAACAACATTGTGGAGTGTATCAATGAAAATATGAGAATGGAAGAAGAGAAGAATCAAGAAACAACAACACCACCAGAAATGACAAATATTCCAATCAGTGAAGGAAACAAAACAGAAGAGCAAGAGAGTCCTAAAGAAACAGAAGAAGAGAGAGTGAATAGGGAATTTGGAGAGAAGATGAGAAGTCTTGAAATTGAGTTAGACAAAATCAAAAGAAAATACATTGCATTCAAAAAGGTTTTTGAAGAACATGGGGAAGACGTAGAATATTTGATGAAACAAGAAAAGGCAGTGAAAGAATGTGAAAACATGATTAAGAATGGGATTGAAGTGAATGAGATGAATATGAAAGTGTTAATGGATTTGGATGGGTTTGTTGGATTAAATGAGGAGAATCGTAAGAAAAGAAAGGATTTAGTAATTAAAATACAGGAAGAATTGGATGAGATTGAAGGAATGGTCAAGAAGTTAAGAGTCACAAAGATGAAAGTCGAGAAGAGAGTAGAAGAGATTGAAAAACAAAAACAAGCAATGGAAGAAGAAAAAAAGAAAGAAGAAGAGGAGAAAAGAAAAGAGGAAGAAGAGAAAAAGAAAGCAGAGGAAGAGAAAGAAAGGGCAATTGAAGAATTAAAGAAAAAGAAAGAAGAAGAAATGAAAAGAAAAAGTGGAATAGGAAAACAACAAAACCAACGATATGTTAGACCAAAGAAAACACAAAGTGAAAGAGAAGAAGAAAGTAAGGAAGAAGAAGAAAAAGCAATAGAACTAGAGAAGAAAAGTAATTCAGAAAGAATTAGAGAAATGATTGATTGGAGTAAAATGAAAATGAATGTTAAATTCCAAGTTAGTGATAGAGGAAATAATGTCATTGTTTATGGTACAATAGCAGGATTAAAGGATGAAGATATTGATGTTAATATCACAAAGAATGGATATTTGAAAGTTAGTGGAGTTAAAAAACCAAATGACAATGAAATGAATATGATTATAAGAACTATCAAACAAAGAATGGGCAATATAAGTGATGAAGATATTGCAAAGATTGCAATGAAATATTGTAATGGAAGATTTGGAACATTTAGTCAATTATATGAAATTCCAGAAGATATTGATATTAAGAATATTACAGTCAATTATGATGAAGGAATTCTTCAAGTAAATTTACCAAGAAAACAACAAACAAGAAGAAGCATGTATCCAAGATTTGGTATGAATGATTACAATGATGGATATGATGATCCATATGATTCATTCTGGTAAACAAATGATATTTATTAATTGTATTTGTTTATTAAATTTTAGTAATTATTATTCTCTAACACAATCAAAAGAAAAAAGGGGTATAAGCGAGGGCATAGACTTTTAGAGTTTAGAAAAGAAATTAACCATAAAATAAACTGAAGATTAAAGGCTCTTGATACTTCAAAGGTGGTGAAAGTCAAATGATTAACAAAATAGAATATTATCATTTTATAATAAAAAATATTATCCATAAAACAAGAAATAATAAGCAAGGAACACATGATGTTTTAGAAACAAAATCAAAAAAAGAAATTAATATTGTTAAGAAAATAGATTAATGAATATTGAACAAATATTAAATCACAAAAAAATTAGTCTTTACCAAAAACACTTAAACTTTGTGTGTTTGTTAATTATAAATAAAATATTTACCAGAAGTTTACATAATTTTGATGATAAATTCCACTTTCTTTAGAGTGTGAATAACCAAAGAAATATTTAGGAGTTATTACTTAGCAAATCAACAAATTGTAAAAAAATAATAAAATAGAGATGGATTATTACACTTTATTATTATGTAGTTAAAGTCAAGTAGTTTCATATTACCAGTAAGTTTTGAGATTTCTAGTATTAGTTTATTGTTTAGAATCATTTTGTAACGTTACTCAGAAAATATTTTCTATTCTTCTTAAAATAAAGACTTCCATATTATTCTAATTTATATTTTTATTAATTTTTTTTTACTTAATTATTATCAGAAAATTTGTTATTCAATACATGAATTTAAAATAAAACGTTATAAATAACAAAAATATTTTAATTCAATAAAATTAACAGAAAGAAAACCTATTAAAAACCCTGAGAAAAGAAAAAGAACTAAGAAAAGAAGTAATTGGGATTTCACAATGGGAATTACAAGAGATTCCAGACATAAAAGAAGAGCCACTGGAGGAAAGAAGAATAGTATGCAAAAGAAGAAGAAGAACACTATGGGAAGACAACCAGCTAATACCAGACTTGGAGCTATTAGAGTTCATAATGTTAGATGTAGATATGGAATTATTAAAAGAAGAGCATTGAGATTAGAAAATGGAAACTTCTCATGGGCATCCCAATCTATCACTAAAGGTACTAAGATTCTCAATGTCGTTTATAACGCATCAGATAATGATTTTGTCAGAACTAATACATTAGTTAAAGGTGCTATTATTGAGATTGATCCAGCACCATTCAGATTATGGTTCCTTAAATTCTATGGAAAAGATATTGCATCAACTGAATATTATAAATCACTCGAATCAGCTACATTCAAAACAGAAAAGAAGGTTGTTATTCCAAAGGAAGAAGAAAATAAAGAAAAGAGTATTGCACATCAAATTGCTCAAACTCAAGTAGCACTTATGAATCCAACTAAGACTATGCAAAAGAAATATGCAAAGAAATTAGAAGTATTAAAGAATATGAAATTTGATGAAGCATTATTAGAAGGATTCCAAAGTGGAAGAATTCTTGCATGTATTTCTTCCAGACCAGGACAAACTGGATCAGTTGAAGGATATATCCTTGAAGGTAAAGAACTTGACTTCTATAGCAAGAAGATTTCAGATAAGAAGAAATAATTGAAATTTGGTTGTTATTTATTGTTTTATAAAACATTATTGTATTTTTAGATTATGTTTTTATTAAAATGAATAACAATTTTACTTATGAAGTCTCACAACTGTAGATGGAAGGTACAGATTATAACTAATTAATCGTTATCTGTTCTATTTAAAGAAATAAAAAGATTTGAAAATCAAGAAATAGTAAAAAAATTAGTAAACAGAAACAAGAAAAAGTAAAAATTTCGAAAAAGAAAAAAAAAGGTATTTGAGCTGGCAGTGATGAAATTGTGAACTACTTTTTAGAAGAAAAGGGAGATAAGATGTCAGCAACGCCTATTAATCCATTTGATTGTTCTCATGAGCATGACCCTTTTATCTCATTAAATAGATGGAGTGAAGAAAAAATTAAGAAAGAAAAAAAGCCAAGGAACAATCAACTATATGATATTCAAGAGATGGAAAAGATGAGTTTAGAACAATTAGAACAAAAAATCAATGAGTTAAATGAAACTGGAAAAATGAGTATTCAAGATGAAGATTTATTAAGAAAAATTAGAAGAAGAGTACAAAACAAGTGGTCTTCAAAGGAATACAGAAAAAGAAAAAAATGGAAATTAGAACAAATGACACAAGAATTAAACTTTTTAAAGGGAAAATGTGAAATCCTTGAAAATGAAAATAACGAGTTAAAAAGAAAGTTAAAAGAATTAAAAATTGCTTTTGATTAGCCTTTCTCTAACCATAAAAAAAAATCATTTTTTAACATGTTTATTGTACTCAATTATCAATCTTTAGATGACTGTAATTAATCAATACTTGTTGGAATTTTTGAGTTTATTTGTTAATTTTTTTTTTTGAATTTTTTTTATATTGTTAATTTATACTTCTTTTTTATTAACATTTTTGACATTAAATTGTGTTATTTCTAAATCGTTAGAATGATTTGATATTGAATCTTCATTAAAAATAATAAAAAGTATGCTATGTTAGGTATTAGATCCTAATTTTTTTATTAATGAAAAATTAAAAGATGACAAATCAAAACGAAAAGAAAACTCTATTTAAGGAATCTAAAAACTATTTATTTCATCTCTACAAAATATGTCTTCTGAAACAACTCCAAATAATATTTTAGTTACAAACATTGATCCTTCAGTTACTGTTGAAGCACTAACGACGTTTTTCTCATTTACTGGAAATGTTACACAAGTAAGATTATCAGACTGTCCTGACGGAACTAAACAAGCAATTGTTTCATTTGACTCACCAGAAAGTGTTAAAACTGCAGAACTAATGACAGGTGCTACTCTTGAAAGTCGTAGAATCAATATTGAATCAACATCTATGACAGAGTCAAGTAGTCATGACCGTGTTTTTAAAGGAGAAGATTTACCTAATCGTTCTATCCCTGAACTTCCAAAGGAACACACAAAGACGTCTGTTGCTGCTTCACTTATTGCTCAAGGATATATATTAGCCAATGACACATTCCAAAAAGCTGTTCAATTTGATCGTGAACATAACATAACATCTTCCATCAAATCAGGTGCAGAAAAAGTTAAACAAGCTGCTATTAATGTCGATGAAAATTATCACATTACTGAGTATCTTGCACTTGGGGCTACTCTTGCTGTTAGTTATGTTGAAAATATCAATGACAGATATAAGGTTACCCAAACAATTTCCAACAAAGCACAAGAAGTTGATGAAGCTTTAAATATTAGTGGAGCAATTGGAACTGCTCGTCAACAAATAAATAATGGAATTGCTGCTGTTGTGACGTCACAACCAGTTGTTTCTGTAAGAAATGCAGTAAATAATACTGTTTCAGGATTTGCACAAAATGTAAGTGATGAAATTGCAATTCAAAATAACATGCACAGAATTACCCAAGAAAAAATCCAACCAGAAGAAACAACTCCTCTTGTTGTTGAAGAACAACAAACAACACCTATAACTATTACCACCGAAGAAACTATAAACCCTGAACCCCAACAAGATGAGTTAATGGAGCCACCAATTGACAAAGATGATATTATCACTCTTGAAGATGATAACACCAACAAAGAACAACAGAACCAAACAAGACAAGAGGCTTCTACACTAATTCTCTAATAAGTTTTCATTATTTTGTTTGAGGTTTTATTATCAATTTATTAGATAACAAAGGATTATGTCTGTCATAACCATTTGAAGAAGATATAATTTAATCATACAATATTGTAAGTAACATTTAGTGTGGAAATAGGATATAATTTGAAAAAAATTATAATTATTTTATACTTTAATTTATGTATTTTATCTTATTTTTTTTTATTAACAGAACATTATATTTTTTATATTTAGTCAATGTGTTATTTAGTATTTTGAATGATAATGATTATTTTATTTTCATTAAATCTATCATTATTTATTCTTATTCTTTCTCTTCTTCATGAGTCTATCAAATACATAACTTCTTATTCTAAAGAGTCATTTAATAGATTAATACTAAACTTACTATTCAATTATATTTAATTTAATTTAAATGAAATTTATTTATTTATTCATTAATAAGTTATTTAAATATTGTGATGAATAATCAATAATATGTTTATTTAAAATGATAAAAGATTAGATATTATATGATGAATGAATTAAGATTGAATTAATTATCATTAATATTTAATACAGTACATTAAAATATATTGAATATTATAAGAAGAAAATAAGATAAATAAAACATTATAAATGAAAAATAAATAAAGAAATTGATTTTGATTTAATGAAATTAATAAATGAATATATTAATTCAAAATTATTAATTATTATTTTATTAATAAATAATTGAATATTAAATATGAAACAATTATTAACATCATTGTAAACGAAATTGATTATCATTAAGTTAATTTCTTATTTAAAATATTGCATTATTAAAATCAGATGATATAAAATGAATATTATAATGAGATTAATAATATTTATATTGTTTTATCATTATAAAGTAATAATGTTAAATATAAATTATTGTTTAACATTAATGAAATATGTTTCAGTGAGTAATATGATAAGATATTAATAAAATAAATTTATTTGAATGTATAGAGGTTACAGCATAATAATATCATTCCTATCAAAAAGTAATATGATCTTTATTTATGTTGATAGTATTTTTATTTGTCTTGATTTTGTAATATGTTATAATATGTTTGAGTATTTAATTATCTCAGAATATCATAATTTATCAATATTACATTTCTAAATAAATAAAAATCACAACAATGAATATGTTTTTATGAAATAATATTAAATAAAATTATTTAATAGAATATTAAAAAATAAATTAATTGTGATTATGATAATAATCAAATAACGGTAATGAGTTTGAATAATTTATTGATATTTCATTAGTATAACATTTTTATCATAATGTCATAATCTATTATTATATCAAAAGTTATTATAGCTTTATCTCAATAGAATAAACTGAGTTTATTAATAGAATGAAAAAGGTTATAATGAAGAAGAAAATAAAAAGGATATAAATTCTTTTATTTTTGTAATACTTAAATTCAATAGTATTTTATCAACCATTTATTGAATAAAATAATATATTATAATAAACAACACTAAAAAGAAATAAAGAGGATGTATGTTTGACATTTTTAATGAAATCAAGGAAAAATACTCTCAGAATTATCTAATAGTTTTATACTTGAGGTGTTTCTAAAAGTTTGAGATGTATATAACATGATTATTGTTATAAAAGAACAAAATGAAACAAATTAACACATATAAGTTTTAAGAAAGTAGTGAAAATTCAATCAAAAAATGAAGTAATAAAAAAACAGTACTAAACGAAAAATGTGAAAAGTCTTCTAAAAAAATATAATTAAATCAATTTAGTTTCAAGACAATAGTCTTCAACATGTTGTTCAGGTAAGATTATATCTATCATTTAATATAGTCTGAGATTAATTCTTCTGTTCATTCTGATTCATACATTCAATACAATTAATCATCATATGATTTCATTAATTCTTTCATGTTTTTGTTAATTATATCTTTTACAGTTATTTTCAATAGTATTTTTTTATTCAAATATATCT